CACTCCTACAGTGTGGCCGAACACTGCAGGAGTTATGACGAGTAGTCCAGAAGCAGTGCCGAGCACTTCAGGTGCTATGCAGGGCACTCCGGCGGAAGAAGGAACTCCATCACCCCCGATCAAGTTCACCTCACCTCCAAGTGACATCACTGAGTTCGTGGACGCCTACCACGAAGGTGAGGAGTTGAGGTTCCGCAGTCTGGACGACATCGTCGATGGCACAGGTCCCTCAGGTCTGGCGGGTAGGCTGCTCAACGACGCAGAGCTGCTACTCATCAGTGCAGAGGAACCACCCACGTTCGCGCTAGCCGAGCGCGATGGAAACTAGCGACGGGCGATGCTGGAGGAGATGAAGGTGATCGAGGAAAACGAGACTTGGCAGCTCGTCGATCCACCTCCAGGATGCCATCCGATTAGCCTGAAGTGGGTGTACAAAGTCAAAAAGGACGAGCTCGACGCCATTGTCAAGTACAAGGCACGCCTCGTCGCCCGAGGCTTTGTCTAGCGCGAGGGCATCGACTTCGAGGAGGTCTTTGCTCTAGTAGCGCGCATGGAGTCGGTCCGTTTGCTACTTGCTTTGGCGGCAGCAAAGGACTGGCGCGTCCATCACTTGGACGTTAAATCGGCCTTCCTCAATGGCGAGCTGGCGGAAACGGTCTTCTTCAGGCAACCTCCAGGGTTCGCTGTCAAGGGAGAGGAGCACAGGGTGCTCCGACTGTGCAAAGCGCTCTACGGGCTGAGGCAAGCCCCTCGAGCATGGAACGCCAAGCTTGACACCACGCTGGGCGAGCTTGGGTCTCAGAGGTGCGCAACCGAGCACGTGCTCTGCACGCGACAATGGGGGAAGGAAGAACTCGTGGTCGGCGTGTATGTGGATGACTTAATCGTCACCGGCGCGCGCACGGAGGATATCAACAGCTTCAAGCGAGAGATGGCAGCTCGTTTTCGAATGAGCGATCTCGGCGCTCTCTCCTACTACCTCGGCATCGAGGTGAGACAGGGGAAGGAGGATCTCACGCTCAGGCAAAGCGTGTATGCCTCCAAGCTGTTGGAGAGGAGCGGCATGGTGGAGTGCAAGCCATGCATGACTCCGATGGAGGAGCGGCTGAAGCTGACGAAGGATAGCACCGCGGCGAAAGTAGATGCAACACTCTACCGGAGAATCGTCGGCGATTTGCGCTACCTAGTCCACACAAGGCCGGATATTGCGTTCGCCGTGGGCTACGTCAGTCGCTTCATGGAGGATCCCAGAGAGGATCACTGGGCTGTGGTGAAGCGGCTACTACGCTACGTCAAGGGAACGGTGAATCATGGAATCATCTTCCCGAAGACCAGGGGAAGTAGGCTGCAGCTCACGATGTTCAGCGATGCAGACATGGCGGGGGGCATCGACGGACGATAGAGCACCTCTGGCGTACTCGTCTTCCTCGGGTCAGCCCCAATTTCATGGCTGTCGCTGAAATAGAAGGTGGTGGCGCTATCTACGTGCGAGGCAGAGTATGTAGCGGCGGCCACAGCGGCGTGCCAAGTTGTGTGGCTACGCCGGCTGCTGGGCGAGCTAACCGGCGTGGAAGCTCACCCACCAGCACTGATGGTGGACAACCAGCCCGCCATCGCCCTCGCGAAGAATCCGGTTACGCGACCGAGTAAACACATCGACGTGAAGCTCCACTTCCTCGGACTGTGTTGATGGAGGCGATCATCATCGAGTTCGTCGAAAGCGCTTTCGGCGGCTCGCGGACGTCCTCACCAAGTCGCTCGGACGACTTTGACTCATGGAGCTGAAGGAGATGATCGGCATGGAGGGGGTACAAGGGTTAGCAGTAGGATTAGAGGAAGATTGTTAGCTAATCTACTGCCACCTTGTGTGAACACAGCAGAGGAAGGCGGTGCCGACTTAGTTGCCTGCTATGTGTGAACACAGCAAGGGAAGGCGGCGCCGACTTTTGCCCCTATTTGTGATCTGATGGCAGCTGCAGGTGTGCGGCGCGCCGACGACTCACTGCTGACCTTTGTGATCAGAGGAACAGCGATGGCTTGCCGCAGAGTCAGCCCTGTCAGGTTCTCTAGTTATTGTGCCAGCATGGGCGCTGCACATGGACTAGATAGTTAGAGTTGTATAAATAGACATGTATGGCAACTCAGTAAAGAGAGCTCAGATTTGCCATCACACAGACAGGGCCTCGGCCAACGTTGTTGTCTTGTATTGTGCGTGCTTGCTCTGTTCTCCCTTCTTCTTCTAGCTCGATCCGTAGTGTGTGGGTACGGACAACGCCGGTACGTGGTCTGCATGGCTAGTGTGTGCTCGGCAATACTAGCGCGTGCTCGGTGAGACCGTCAAGTGCTCCACTCGCCTGAGCCGGTGCTCGGCAAGATCGGCTGGAGTGGTTCACTGTCGTGAGCCGGTGATCCTGTGAGACCAACGGAGTGGTCTGGGAGACTAGTGGTCTAGGGCTAGTGGTCTGGGAGACTAATGGTCTAGGGCCAGTGGTCTGGGAGACTAATGGTCTGGGAGGCTAACTATGGGCCAACATCTTTTAAGCTTTTAACCTAGCTCCAGGTCGATGATGTTTTTATAAGGCTTACAGATTGTACTTGTAGCATGCATGTGGCTATTATATATACTATATATCTGTGTCATTAGGCAATCACAGTAAAATAAAGTTGCCTAGAACCCTATCTAGCTAAGCTAGCTAGGTGCCTATAGCTCCAATATATTCCCATGACAGTGTAACATCAGAGAATAATGGAAGTGATTAAGATAAAGAGCTAGAAGAGTACTTGGTAGTAGCTAGCTAATTAGTCACTTTGGCACTGTAGGGAGGACTTCTAAAAGTAGCAATACAAGAAGCAAACTTGCAGTTGATTTAGAGCTTTGGTCTACCAAATTGAGATTTATATATAGATAATAGGAAAAAGTCTACTCCACCCCCCAACTATGGGGGTGGTCTACATAACCCCCTCAACTATGAAACGGTCTGATTTATCCCTAAATTTTTTAAAACCGTCTATTTTACCCCCAGACGGTTTTTAGCGGCGGTTTTGCTACAGTAACAGCGGGTTGCTACAGTGTCAGGGGTTTTGTCTTTTTTCTTATTTCCGCTGAATCTTTGAAAAATCATAGTAAATCACAGAAAAATCATAAAATGAAAAATCTAATTTTGTTGGACTCCACATGAGTAGATCTACACAGTGAACATATAATATAGTACGCTTTAGTACAAAGTTTTTGTTGTAACTTTAGATTAATTGTAAAATCCAATTTTGTCTGTAATTAATTAGAATAATTCATAGCTGCAGCTTCTATAGTCTAATTGTGGTGAAATTTTTTATGGTAGGTTAATTATTATATGCTTAAACTATAGTAAAAATTTCGTACTCATTGGACCATGTATAACTTAGTTATAGATAAATTCCAATTAATTGTGAGATAAAATTAGATTTTCTAATTAATATAAATCTATAGAAAAAAGTTTTGTGCTAAAGTGTACTATATTATATATTATGTTATCATGTGGAGTCCAAAAAAATTTGAAAAATCTACGGTTTTGAAAAGTTCAGGGGGTAAATCAGATCGTTTCATAATTGAGGGGGTTATGTAGACCACCCCCATAGAGTTTGGGGGGTGGAGTAGACTTTTTCCATAGATAATATATAGTGGAAGTGCCGAGGCATAACACAAAAGGAAATGCGGATTTGCAGGCACACGCAAAATATGGCCACCGATCCGACTCCGAGGAATCAGAAGCGAGGATAGTGGAAATTAAGCTGTGTGCACACATAATCACCAACTGAAACCCACTGATTGCATGCATCGATCGACTAAACTGAAACAAATGGGAAGCTTTTGGATGCAATATATGAGCCTTTGTTTCGTTGTTTAATACTAGTATACTGCAGAAGGGGAATTTAATCGCAACAAAAGGACTTATGGCCCTGTTTGTTTCCGCTTATAAGTGGCTTATCGGTGGAAATAAGCGAGAATCCCGTCAAACGCTTTGCTTATTTCCACCGATTCTCGCTTATGTGGTAAGCCGAAACACAATTTGAAGCTTTTTTAAAAGCAATATATGAGAAAATCTTTGTTAGATTATAATACTAGTATACTGTGCAGGGGAATTTAAACAACAAAGGACTATATATCGCGCAAATGCATGATGACAACCCAACACCTGTCGATTGTTGTCTATCAATGGATGGCGATATCTTTGATCCCTTTTCAAATGAAAATGCATTGTTGAGATTTCAGTAGTTGGCCACCTACTTTATTTCCTTTATTATTGTTCTCTTTAGAGTAATATACGACATATCTCCCTAAACAGAACAACCTCCGAAGTTGTTCTAAGCCAAATTCTGTAAGATTTACCGAATTTACGACATAAAATTAATATAATTTGATACAACATGAAGTATATTTCCATTTTAGTGTATAGTATTTTTTTATAAAACCGATTGAAAGTTTAATTTAAGACGACTCTAAAATTCATTTATTCATGGACGCTTGGGGTAATGAGGTGCTGTTTTTCTTTTTTGAGCTTAGTAACGAGGTGCTGTTGCTAAGCCTTCTCCTGTTTCATTTTCATTCATTTTTTGAAATGAATGCGACGGCCGACGGCCCAGAAGGTAACAAGCCGACGCGTGGCGCCGGGCCCCTGCGACCGCGAGACGAGCACCGGCGCACAGCGAAGCTACGGATGATGGGCTGGCCCATATGCGTGTCAACACCTGACAGCCCAGTTGTAGCCTTAACTCAATCCTATTCGGCCCAAAAAGAGCCCAGTTCGCCAGCCCTAGACTCTCCGGACTCCGGTCAGTCCACCTCCGCCCTCGCAACTCGCGTCCGCTGCGCCGCCGACGGCCGACGCCGACCGTGTCTGGCCTCTCGCAATTCTCCGAGCCGCCGTTCCTGTCCTCCTGTTTCCGGTCGTCCCACGCCGACGCGGTGACGCTCTCTAGCAGCGTCCGAGGCTTCGGAGAAGGGGAACAGGAGTAACGAGGAGATGGTGAAGGGGAGGCCCAAGCCAACGCCGGTCAAGGCGGCTGCGGAAGTGATCTTCGACCCGTTGGCCTCCGGTGCCCGGAAGCCCCGCCGCCCTGGGGCGCCGTCGGCCAGCAAGGAGTGGCACAGCTTCATGGTTTGTCTCCATCTCTCCTGCCTTCTTTCTGAAACATCTTTGTTCTATTGGCGCTGCAATTCCTCCACGTTCACAGTAGAACCCACTGGCGTCCTAATGTTCTTCGTTTTTTCCCCTCCTAGGGATCGAGTCTCTCGGATATGTATCGGGAGCCAGTTTTGGAGAAATCTGCTGACACATCTGATGAGGAGCCTGAGATTGATATCATGAAGCTGTTGAAAGATGTTGAGATCATTGATAATTACTCTAGAACTGTTCGTGCCACTCTCTACTGATAGTACCTTGACTATACCACACACAGAGAAATTGCGACGTTTTTTTCCTCGTGCCTTGTTTATATTAACTAGTTAAAGGCCCGTGCGTTGCTACGGGAAAAAGATAATGCCATGTGTTGCCCTGTTAGAAAAACCAATACTTTAGAGAGTGCAAGAACATAAGGATATGATTACAATCTGTAACACAATGGAATTAATTACTACATATCATTGCTGTTGTGAAACTACAGTTAATCTGAAGCTATGAATCGCAGGCAACAAAAGGTGAGCACAAAGAGTATCTCATCTATGTAGGTTATTGAATTTCAAAACTTACACACTGGGCCAGCACATATTGTCAACAACCATTCTGAAAATACACATGGCTACAATTTATATTGTTTGATTGTTCAACATTTATTTATGCAAGACCACATGATTTCAGTGGTATGGTGAGGGTCACTATAGTCAGGTTATTTGTTGTTTGAGAAATCACCCTCTATATCCCACAAAACAGAGTTACAATTAGAATGAACTGATTGAGACTATAGTGTGTGATTTTTTTTTTGGCGTGATCTCCAAGAACAGGGGACTGTAAAAATTGAATGAACATGCGTGAAGATCAAGCTGCAGGTATCTTGAGATGAGAAGCGTTGGGCCTGCTAATGCACAACTCCCCTCAATGTGTCGAGCCTGCTACTGCACAGCTTCAGTCATCCTGGAACAGAGATCACCAATAGATTTCAGCAAACAGACCAAAGAAGTGGAAACAGAGAAATAAAACAAACTTTATTTCTTGGCTGGTTGATAATTCAAGTGCTAACAAGTGTTTAGAAAATTATTTCCATGATCTCTTTCATGTTGCTACAAATCAGTCATGCCCAGTCCAATTTAAATCATGCTCTATGCAAGGACATAATAATTTCCCATCTGTGGAACTCAAGTCCAGCCTGCGATCCTCCATGCACGACGCCAGTTCACGGTTCGAGGCTTGATGAGGACACAACAGTGAGTGAGCCAACTAACATTGGGGAAAAAACTAAATTGTGGTGAAAAAGTGACTTATATATGCACGGCCAAATGAATTTGCAGCATACTCAGAAATTAGGATATACTTTGCTAACAAGAGTGAGCCAACTAACTTTGAAGAAAAAACTAAATTTGCTGAAAAGGTGATTTATATATGCACGGCCAACATCAAACAATGAATTGTCAGCGTATTCAGAAATCAGGAAAAAAATCATGACAATAAATACGATCAAATTGTTTTATAAGACAAAATGTCACATGGGTATGGAATTGCACGTCAACACAGGCATGGGCGAATGGCACGCTACAGGATTCAACAAGTGTTTTATATTTCTATCCTTTTCTTATAAGTTAATATACCAATACCAACTTGTAGGTCTTGCTTGTACACAATTTTCTAACAGAAAGATGCATCCAATCCAAGAGATGGCAAACCAAAGGCACTCCATTCACTTCTCCTAATTATGCAGCAAGGGAGAAAATTTACCAGGATAAACCTCCAGAAGCATGAAGGGTCCACTGGAATGTTACATAGGCTGAAAATCCACAAATCTGAAGTAATTAAGCCAACCGCACAAAGGGCAGTGCAAAATAACTTGCACTTAATCTTACCATATTGTTGAGAGTGCATACCATCAGTGACCTGCATGGAATTTTGGTGGACAAGATGGCAATAGGCATTGCATAAAAACAGTTAACCTGGTGAAATTAAAACAACTAAATCTTCTCAGTCAGGTAGGCATGTCTGCCACCATGGGGCTGGTCACCAGCATGTGGATCGTCCACTTCTCAGTCAAGTACTGGAAATTGGGCACAAAGTGATTCATTTCATTGAATATTAGAACTGAAACAAACTGAGCTCAGATGTTTGCTCCTTCCTTGTAAAATGGAGAAAAGAAACAATGCTATTCATTGCCTTCCACACTCCAATAAGGAAGTGATCCACACGCTTGAGCTTCCACAAAAAGTTGAAAACCTTGAGATACATCTTCATAAACACTGTGTCTAGGGGAACCCTAGCATCATACTCCAAAGAGAAGATATCCCAGCCGCAAGCACCATCTCCATGATCTATCATCTTTACCCTTATCCGGTCGAAGATATTAGGGTCATCATACTGTGCATTGGATGCCCGGATTGCAGTCTCAAGCAACACAAACTATTTTTTATCACCCTTTTCACATATTGCTAATATGTCAATAAACATATTCTCTAGAATCTAGGATTCTCAGCATCTAATATGTCAATAAACAATGATCACCAATGATAAGGTAACACCAAATACAAGCAGGAGAGCATGAAATTTCAACTCAAACATCCTATGCAAGAAAATAAAGTGGGCCAGGGAAGATAACATACCCTTGAGCCTCATGACCCAAGATCCTACGGAACACGGGAATGCCCTATAAGAAATAAATTAGAAGTCCCCAATAACACGCAATTCAGCTCCAAGTTGCTGCGTCAAACATCTCAATGAACACGATAGAATGGGATGAGTGATCAGTAGATACCTTGGCCGACCAGAAGTAAACGTCAGTGTGGCAGAGCGAAGTGAAGAGGATCTTGATGCACACCTCAATGGACAGCGACTTGTTGGCCACTTGGCCTCCCATGCCACCATGGCCGCATGGGTCCAAGAAAATCACCCACAGAAATGTTAGTCCAATAATCTAGCAATAAAAAAAATGCTCATTGCAAATTCAGCATTCCTAGATCATAGCAAAACAGTAGCATAACTACTTCCAATCTCGCATTAGGAAAAGATTGGTCGCCATTGTTCCTACAGAAAAAGAAAGAAAGAAAGAACATCATCACCAAAGAATTCAGGAAGACGGTACGTCGAGCATCCAATCTTCCCCGACCGGTGCCGCCGCCTCTACGCCGCCATCGCCCATCCCAATCCTTACCGCGCCGCCGCCGGAAGGCCCGGGTGAAGACGATGCGCCAGATCTTGGCGCTCAAGAAGATGCGGCTCCCTGAGGACGACGAGGACGTGCCCCCACCGTGCTTCGGGCTCCGGCACCATGGTGTAGACGGCTTGCTGCCTCCTCTCAGCGGACCTCCGCACCGCGCGCCCGCCGTCGGCTGCAGACGCACTGCGCCGGGCCGCAAGCTCGCAGCCGCCGCCTGTGAGGCTCCCGCTGTCCGCCACGGGCCGCGCAAATCCCGTAGCGGCCACACGCCCGCCCACCGCCAGCTGTAGACGCGCAGCACCGGATCGCAAGCTCACGGCTGCCGCCACTGCGGCCCGCACAGATCCCTAGCGCGGCCACACGCGCTCCTGCCGCCGGCCACGAGCTCGCAGGCTTCTCTAGTGGAACCGCTTCGTCACGAGGGTGCGCGATTTAGGAAGGAGCGGTGTTCGACTGGACAGCCCGGTGGCGGCGCGATTTAGGGAGGAGACGCATTTTTTCTCGGAGACGTGGGAGCGGTTCACTTTTCACGGAGGGGAGTTGAGTGCGGGCGTCGGTTTTGCGCGGGGAAGGAAGCGGGCATGGCAATTAGCGCGGCTAAGCGGTGATTAGTGGAGCAAAGCGATTATTGCTAATCAGACGATGACCTCCGGGCCTTTTTAGTTGTAGAGATACCATTCTGCCATCTAAAGGTAGGGAGTAGGGGCAGCATGCCTTACCAACGATGTTAGGTTACACTGACAGCAATTTGTAAATCAAACTGTCACGCTGCTCAAGGTAAATGTGAAGCATTTGAAATTAAATTCATATGCAACAAACTAGTGCATGTAAATTAGTTTGCCATCCATTTTTTCAAACCTAGATTGGGTGAGTCGAGCAGCTTGTTCTGGAGTCTTTTGTTCAAGTAGCTGTAAACTAAAAAAAATGAATGCTGCATCATTGCACCTTGTTCCTCACACTATCAGGTTTTGAAGTGCTCCGACTTGTTCATGCAATTATTTTTCAAGCTTTTATGCTGTTGAAGTGGTGTCAGAATTATTGTTCCTTCTCATTCCGGAGGAAAGAGGAGAAGGATGTTTCTTGTTTGATTTCAGTTTATGTGGTTTTGTTCTTCTTCAATTTATCTGTACCTTTTCCCTGTATTGTTCCATCTTTCATAAACACATATCTCAGGGATTTGGAGATGTACAGTCGCTCACTTGATCCTTCGTTTTTTAGGTGCCCCTACATTTAAGGGGCGGAAGCAAATTGAGAACCGTAGAGTGGTTGAGTTGGGTGGAAAGGTAATCTCTCATTTTCTTTACCTCTACACATTCTGGCTTGAAACTTTTTTCATTGTCTCAATGTTTATGTTATCTGAAAAATAGGCCGTTAAGAAGCACCGCACACCATTAAGTGTCGCGAAGCCAGCTCTGAAGAATCAGAAGAAAAGAGAGCAAAAGAAAATCGAAGAGGTATGCTACTGCATATCTGGTACACTTTTTATAACTTGTTATTAAGGACATAAACAAGGAGTGACACATGAGAACTCTGCAGGAAAAACTACTTGGGATCTTTAGGAAGAGGGACAAGAATACCAAAGCTCACAAGACTAGACCAGAGGACCGAGTTCTTAGGGCCACAGAAGGGCGCTTTAAGAATGGTATACTGGACGTCAAGCATCTTCTGGCTCCACCGAAACCATCAGGGAGGGATGCGCCGGAACCGAAGATGAGAAAGGGCAAGCACAAGGGGAAGGGTAAACAGAAAGGTGGCAGAAGGAAGAGACGTTGAAGGAAACACACTTTTGTAACCAGGTTTTAAATTAAGATAGATGGTTGATGAAATGTTAAAATGGCACCTTGTAGTCGTTCTGAAACTAAGACATTTCCATGCTCTGCTGGAATCTCTGAAGTAATCCTTGAAACAATGTAATCCTCCAGGATGCGGTTCAGAAAAGGCTTATTTGTTTCAGTTATATGCCCTTAAATCTTTGGGCTTCTACAATTTGTTTGCCTGGCCGCCATGTGCCTGGGATTACATATTTGTATTGTCATCTTGGATATGATCAAAGCTAGAAGTATTTATTGACGGCTCAAATGCTGTCGTCCCTAAAATGTTAGATTGATCTCATTCTGTTGCAGGATATACCTTCCCATGTTCAGCTGCAACGCTGCAAGAATTTTGATGGAAGAGACCTGGATGCGAGGCTAGAGTACTTTGTCTGGCAAAAAGTGTTGCCCGAAAGTTTGATGGAATCTGTCTGGCTAGACAAGACAGAAGATGATGCGTTTGGTTGGAAGCCTATCGGCCTGTTCGGCTGGAGCTGCTGGTTCGTGGATTATTACTGCTGACTGGTTTGGTGTGAGAGAAAAATATTGTTCTAGCTGGAAGACACTGTTCATCTAAACAGTGCCCGCGTGGGTGGGCCGGAGCCGGACAGGCTGTATGCCTGGAAACGCTAATAAAAGATAAAAAAAAAAGGATAGATCTAGTGCCGAAAGCTCCCAGTGGGGTACCATTTTAAAACATACACGGTTACGGTTAGAATGTACAAACAATAAATAAATAAATAAAACCATCCACATATTTTATCAATTAACAATATATTGAAATTACCAATAAATTTAATAGATTTCCTAGCTATTATTTAAAAAATGTCACAAGGAAAGACGTACGAGGAACAAAGATAATTATAATTACACTGTATACACGATGCTAGTACAGGTTTATTGGTAGAGAACTGAAAAGAAGAACGTAATGGCCCCGTTCGCTGGTCTGAAACTTGACTGAAACTGGCTGGTTTTGTGAGAGAGAAACACTGTAGCGGCTAGTTGATGAACAGTGCTTTTGTGAGGGATTCTAGCCGACTGGTCTGAAACTTTCATACCAGCGAACATCGCCAATATGTTTCTAAAAAATCGTAATCGAGACTTCTGATTAGTGCAGGTTTATTGGTATACATTTTTTCCATAGAATTTCGTGTACACAGTACTAGCTAATACATAGAATAGCAGTAAATATAAGGCAACAAGTGATTAGACGGGTGATTAGTCCAGGCAAGCCAGCAGCTGCACCCTAGGCGACCGTTTTCGTGCGCCTGAGCCTGGGGGCCGATGCCTGGGACAGGCGGCTCACCCGGGCTGCATCCAAATATCGCACAGGCAGCATCCAGTCACGCTACAGGCCAGGCATCTTCTACCAGGTTTCAATCCAACACGCCCTTACCCCCAATCATGAGGCTGTTCGGCAGGACTGAAAAATAAGTCAAAATACTGTTCCGGCTGATTGTTGTGAGAGAAGAATACTGTTATGTCTGAAAATATTGTTCACGTAAACAGTGCTGCTGTGAGTGAGCTGGCCCGCCCAGCTTCAGCTGGCCAACCAGCCGAACACCCTGCATGCTGGACAATTTTACAAAGAACATCAGCCAAAGGTCAGGTCAGAAGTTATGTAGACTTTTTCCATTTTTACAAAGCACATCAGCTGCGGTTGGCGTGACAAGCCAGTTTCTTAGCGATCGATCGTTCGGTTCGCTTGAGCTTATTCAACACTATTTTTCAGCCATAGAATTGTATTTTTCTTCCACAACATTTCAGCATAGGAATCAGCGTAAGCTAAAATTCAGCATAAGCGAACATGTGTCACTCATCTAGGAGACTGACCAAAACCAAATCCAAATGAAATGGCCCCTATGGACTCGTGGTTCAGTGGAGGAGCTGACATTTTCAACCCGAGGTAACAGTAATAACCGGCGAATAAAACGGCTAAAATGCAGTTACTCTGACTCGGCTAAAAATGAGGCGCCGCAAAACCAAAATTTGCTCGGCACCCCCACCCACACCAGTCCAGTGACAGTGAGTCCAACGCCTCCCTTCTCCTCTTTTCGATTCGAAATCGAAACAAGCTCCCTGAGCCCGAATGTTCTAGAACCTTCCCGGCCTAGGGTTCCCGATGGGCCCCGAGAAGGCGGAGGCCGTGCTGGAGACCATCTGGGACCTCCCCGACAAGGTCAGCGACGCCATCCACGCCCTCTCCTGCGCGCCGTCCGCCGCCGCGCCTCCGCCTCCGGAGACAAGCCCGCCGCCGGCCTCGTGTACGTCAAGGGCGGGGGTCTGGGTCTCGGCGCGCGCGGCGGAGACGAGGTCGCCGCACTGGCGGCCCTGGCCGAGGAGGCCAGGAGCCTGCACGCCATCCGCGCCGCGCTCGAGGACCTCGAGGACCACCAGTTCGAGTGCTTTCTCGTGAACCCCCTCCTGACCTGACTTTCACTCCCTCCTCTCCTCCTGGGCTATCTCTCGGTCTTGCGCGTGCAATCTTGTGCTCGATGCGAGCTGCGAATTTGTTAATGTTTGTTGATTGGATGTTCGTCTAGTGTTGGGGACTCGGTGTGACTGGAAATGCGGGTGGTTTCCAAACGAGTGATTGTTGAGACTTGAAACCACGGTAGGGTTTTGTGCAGTTACCACATGTTTTAGTGGTTGTTGAGAGTGGAACTAGTCAATCCCGGGGTGCCGACTTTCCATTTTATTTTCTGTAGAGGGGAACTAGAATTACCTTGGATGAATCGCTAATAGGCAGATCTGCATGTGGTTGGGCTAATTATTTTCTTAAAGAAAAAGTTATTTGGACAATTGGCCTGTATCCATCTTGTAGCCAGACCTTGTTTTAATCCTTTGTGATATAAAGGTATGCGATGCAAGTTCATGGCGATGTTTGGTGGTTTCAGGCAAGTAGCCAGTGATATGGCTGAGTGCATTAGCATCTGTCTGTACCATAACATAATTATGAACAAAAGCTCTACTCTGATTATATTATTGCAGTGATATTTGTGTTCAAAAAGTCATTGCAGTGATATTGCTGAGTGCATAAGCACATTTGGATTGGTCTGTCTGTACCATGCCATGATTATCAACAAAAGCTCTACTCTGATTGTATTGTTACATGGTATGGTTGGACAGAGAACTTCAGTTCTCTACATCCTTTATGTTTACAGTTGTTTATCATTGTGTGGATTCAGCACTTGTACTTTTGTTCTCATTAAACATTCCAAATTATCTTGAAAATTTGAGCTGGGTTGCATTTAGATGTTAAATGGCTAATATTTCTGTACTGCTCTGAAATCTAAACTTTCCATTTCTATGGATAAACTTGTAGAATAAATTATGTTGTTTATTACCATCTATATAGTGTGTTCTGTGGCTATTATAGGAAATAATCATGTTAATGCTTTTAGTCTGCATTTGCATTGTCTAACTGCACAATGGTTCTTTCATTTGCAGGCTGTGCAGAACGAGATTTTGCGTTAGCAAGGTTGGAGCAGAGCCGCATCATGTTTGCAATAAGACTAAAAGAGCATCATGGGAAAAATCACGATGTCATAGATGAGGCATCCAACTTTGTCCGCAATGTCTACCAGGATGTTTGGCCTTCCCTGTCGGCTACCAAGCCTGAGAAGTGTGCTGACAGTTCCAGTAACACTGCAGAGGGTCCAAATTTCTTTGCGCGGATGGTATCTTCTAGTCTTGCTATTGCAGGGAGCAGTTTCAATCTCAAAAGTTTGGGTGGTGCATTAGGGAACAGTGCAGCTTTAGCAATTGGCATCGTCACAGTGCTGCAGTTGCGGTGGCTAGCTTCAGGGGCACACAGTCCAGGAGTTGGTAACTACAGCTACAGGAGGATCAGTGAGAAGAACTCGTCATCGCGGTTGGGAACATCTCCAAGTTGCAGTAGAACGGCTCGGCTTGATGTGTCACTAGCCAGGGGTTGAAGGGGTTCCACATCTCCTTATTTGTTGCTTGTACATGATTCACTAGGACATAGTATCGCAGTAGAAGGTCGTTCTCGCTTGTTGTCCGCTAGGTAATATTGCAGATCGGTTCAGTTTTGTTGATGTATGTTGTCAGTTTCGATGGATTTTGATCCTGAACTGCATCCCTTTAGGCAGGAGAACTTTTATTGATGCTGTTACGTTTGCTCTGCTTGGAGTTGGTTGCTTGCCTGATATGTGCACACCATTGGTGTGACCGTAGTTTGTTGATCTATGTTGCCTGCTACACGCCGCCTTTGTCTAGCGTTTTTGCTGCTTAAGATGCCGTGATGGGCGATCTTTTGCTGAATTGAATCCATGTCGCAGGCAGTTGTTTCTTCAATCTTGTTCCTTGATAAGATGATGGTTATTAGGTGTACCTTGCCGACCATTCTTTGCCAGTTGCGAGCCTCATCCTCTCCCAACACCTTGAACAATGTTATCTGTTGCTGTCAGAGTGCTTACCCTACCTTGAACAATGTAGATGGTTTTGCTGAAGGTTTGGCAGGTATATATACTTTTTTTCCTGCTAATAAAAATGACAATTCAGGTAAGGTAAAATTCTGTGTTAAATGTAAATGTTTCTTGACACCGAACTGTGAAATCACTAGTGGCATACAACATCACAACTACCCCAAATCCTACAACACAGCACAGTAGTGCATCATCTTCAAACAAGCATCAAACTTATGGCAACCAGTCAAGAGTGAACACAAGCACTGGAACATAAATGCTGCTCCATATGGGCAAAGAGACACAGTTAAGTATCACCAGAGGACGCAACACTCCAAACCACCCGAAACTAACATAAACAACACATAAAGTGGTATCTCAGCTTCATCTAGACGTTCTAAACAGAGCACAATCTCTGAAACAATTTTGTGCAACGCCCTAGGCCCAGAGCTCTGTTAGATAATCTATTGCTACCTTGTGTAAACACAGCAAGGGAAGGCGGCGTCGAAAAGGCCCCTGCTGTGATACTGTAGCCGATGTAGGTGCAGGCGCCGCACGGCTCACCTGCAGCACTGTAGGCACATGCAGAGGCCAGCGCAGAGTCAACCCTATATGTTTATCTAGTCACTGTTGCAGCGGGGCAGCTGTACTGGGACTAGATGGATAGAGTTGTATAAATAGACTACCACGGTAACTCAATAAAGAGATTTCAGATTTGTTATCTCCCAGACAGGGCTTCGACCAACGCTGGTGTCTTGTACTGTGTGTGTATACTCTGTTCTCCCTTCTTCTTCTAGCTCTAGCCATAGTGCGTGGGGACGGACAACGCTTGTTCGTGGTCGGCACGGCTAGTGGGTGCTCGGCAACACTAGCGGGTGCTCGGCAAGACCGGTGAGTGGTTCACTCACCTGAGCCGGTGATCCTGTAGGCCAACAAGTGGTATCGGAGCCATACAAGCGTCGTCGCCAAACTAACCGCTGGCGATGACGGGCGGTTCGAAGATGGGCGACAGCAGTGGCATTATTGTGGCTGTTCAGCCACGACCGAAGGTCGTTGTTCGCACGGTGCGGGAGGTCAGCGGCACCAGTTGGCCGACACTGACTCGCATCAACTATGGAGAGTGGTCGGTGACCATGAAGGTCAAGCTCAGAGCCCGACGGCTTTGGAATGCTGTTGACAAGGGCACCGACAATGAAAAAGATGACATGTCAGCGTTGTAGGCTATCATCGCTGCTGTACCGGCGGAGTACAGGGAGCCGTTGGGGCGAAGAACTCGTCTAAGGAGGCGTGGGAGGCTATTGCGGCGATGCGCGTCGGTTCCGACCGCGCAAAGAAGGCGACGGCCCAGCTTCTGAAGCAGGAGTACGCAAATCTCAAGTTCAAGGATGGTGAAACGGTGGAGGACTTCTCCCTCCGTCTGTAGACGCTCATCAGCAAGCTGAAGAGCCATGGCGTCACCATCGATGAAGAGGAAGCGGTCTCCAAGTACCTCTACTCCGTGCCGGCAAAGTACATCCAGAACGCTCTCTCCATAGAGACGATGCTAGACTTGTCCACCCTCACCATTGAAGATGTGGCAGGCCATCTGCGGGCGGTGGACGAGCGCCTAGAGCAGGCGACAACAACGAAGGACAGCGGGAAACTCCTGCTGACGGAAGAGGAGTGGGCTGCTCGGAGAAACTCCAGGAAGGCAGCCTCCTCCAGCCGCGGTGGTGATGGCAAGCGCCACGGCAAGGCTTCTTCGGAGAAGAAGCAGGTCGACCCCAACGACTGCCGGTGTTGCGGGAAGATGGGCCATTGGGCACGGGAGTGTCCAAACCATAAGCAGGAAAAGAAGGCTCAGGCTCATCTAACGCAAGCCGATGATGAGGATGAGGCCACTATCCTGATGGCGATGTTCTGTGCACTGCACGACGTCGAGGCCGAGGAAAGAGAAGAGGCGACAACGGTGGAAGGACCTGGGAAGGCCCTGAAGACTGTCAACCTCGATGAACCACGCGCCCAAGTTCACCTAGGACGTGTGGGCGCCGACCAGGAGTAGTGGTGGTATCTGGACTCTGGTGTCATCAACCACATGACAAGCTCCAAGGCATCCTTCTCCAAGCTCGACGACGATGTTACCGGTACGGTGAAGTTTGGTGATGGCTCAAGGGTGGCTATCCAAGGGCGCGGCACCATCATCTTTAGGGGCTAGAACGGGGAGCGTCGCGCGCTAACGGATGTATATTACATCCCATAGCTGCGTTCCAGCATCATCAGCATTGGTCAGCTGGATGAGCGCGGTAGTGAGGTACTGATCAAGGACAGAGTCCTTAGGATCAGGGACCGGGAGCAGCGGCTTCTTGCCAAGGTGAAGAGGTCCCTGAACCGGTTGTACCTGCTCGACCTAAAGGTAGAGCAGCCGGTATGCCTAGCGGCAAGACACTCTGAGGAACCGTGGGATGTGGCATGCCCGGTTCGGACATCTCAGCTTCGACGCGCTTGGTCGGCTGGAAAAGATGGTTCGAGGACTACCCCACATCAAGCACGGAGACGAGCTGTGTGACAGCTGCCTAGCCGGAAAGCAGAGGAGGCTACCTTTCCCAAAGGCGGACAAGTTTCGCGTGAAGGACGCTCTCGAGCTCGTCCACGGCGACCTCTACGGGCCGATCACTGCTACTTCCTCCTGCTCGTGGATGATTGCAGTCGCTACATGTGGCTGCAACTCCTGACGAGCAAGGACAAAGCGGCGGCGGCGATCAAGAAGTTTAAGATGCGCGCGGAGGCCGAGAGCGGCAAGAAGCTCCGTGTGCTGAGGACTGATCGCGGCGGTGAATTCACTTCGGTGAAGTTCGTTGCGTACTGCGCAGATCTGGGTGTGGGGCAACACCACACCGTGCCGTACTCGCCATAACAGAATGGTGTGGTGGAGATGCGGAACCAGACGGTGGTCGGCATGGCCCGATCCATGATGAAGGCCAAAGGCATGCCGGCAAGGTTCTGGGGAGAGGCGGTGACCACAGCGGTGTTCAACCTCAACCGTTCTCTGACCAAGGCCCTGACGGGCAAGACGTCGTTCGAAGCTTGGTATGGGCGCAAGCCGAGGGTGTCCTTTCTCTGGACATTCGGCTGCATCGGCCATATCAGGAAGACGAAGCCGAACCTCACCAAGATGGAGGACAGGAGCACACCCATGGTGTTTCTGGGCTACGCGGAGGGTACCAAGGTGTACCGACTCTATGACCCACGCGGAGACAAGGTGCTTGTCTCACACGACGTCGTGTTCGACGAGGAGGCGGCTTGGGACTAGAGCAGTCCGAGCACGGGGGAAGCTGGCGGCTTCACTAGCACCTTCGTCGTCGAGCACTTGGTCATCCATGGTAGTGGAGACGCTAGGGAAGAGGTGCCGAGCACTCCGGGAGGAGTGCCAAGCACTCCAGCGGTAGAGCCAAGCACTCCTGGGGCAGTGCCGAGCACTTCGAGAGGGATGCCGAGAACTCCGAGAGGAGTGCCGAGCACTCCTGAAGGGATGCCGAGCACGCCAGGAGTGGTGTCGGGAGGTTCTGCAGTGGTGGCGACCACTCTAGGACGGGTGCCAAGCACTCCCATGGTGGAGCCAAGACGTCTTGTAGTGGTGCCAACCACTCCAAGACTGAGGCTGGGCACTCCTACAGTGTGGCCGAACACTACAGGAGTTATGACAAGCTGTCCAGAAGTAGTGTCAAGCACTACATCCGGGGTGCCGAGCACTCCAGGTGTTCTGCCGAGCACTCTGGCGGAACAGGGAACTCCTTCAACGCGGATCGAGTTCGCCTCACCTCCAAGTGAGATCACTGAGTTCGTGGACGCCTACCACGAAGATGAGGAGGTGTGGTTCCGCAGGTTGGATGACATCGTCGGTGGCATAGGTCCCTCAGGCTTGGCGGGTAGGCTGCTCAATGATGCAGAGGGTACTCCTCAGTGTAGAGGAACCACCCACGTTCGCACTAGCCGAGCGCGATGGAAACTGGCGACGGGCGTTGCTGGAGGAGATGAAGGCAATCGAGGAAAACGAGACTTGGCAGCTTGTCGATCCACCTCCAGGATGCCGTCCGATCAGCCTGAAGTGGGTGTACAAGGTCAAATGGGATGAGCTCGGCGCCATTGTCAAGCACAAGGCGCACCTCATCGCTCGAGGCTTTGTTCAGCGCGAGGGCATAGACTTCAAGGAGGTCTTTGCGCCAATAGCGCGCATGGAGTCGATATGTTTGCTACTAGCCTTGGCAGCAGCAAAGGACTGGCGCATCCATCACTTGGACATTAAATCGGCCTTCCTCAACGGTGAACTGGTGGAGATGGTCTTCGTCAGGCAACCTCCAAGTTTCACCATCAAGAGAGAGGAGCACAAGGTGCTCCGACTACGCAAGGCGCTCTACGGGCTGCGGCAGGCCCCACGAGCATAGAACGCCAAGCTTGACGCCACGCTGGGTGAGCTTGGGTTTCAACAGTGCGCAACCGAGCACGCGCTCTACACGTGGTGATGGGGGAAG